TAGGCGCGGAGGCGAAATCAAAGTAGCCGGAGAAAATTATTCGACAATCTAATTTTTCGCGGTTACCTGTTCGCAGTAACTTTCCCGTTTGGCATGCAAACGATAGAACGAACCGAACCGAACCAAACCAACGACGTGTTTTACCTCGGCTTTCTTCGTCTCTCTCTCTCTCTCTCTCTCTCTCTCTTAATCCCCGCGGCTCTCAGGTCGAGTCCACGAGCCTATCATTAGACGCGGTCTTCGTTTTGGCCGCGCTTCGATCGATTCTTCGCGACGAGCGCGGCGACACACGAAATCGCGAATAATTGTCGCGATATCAATTGGTTAATCAACTTCTCTCTCACCTCGTGCGTCTGTCGCCCTTATCTCTCTTTCTCTCTCTCTCTCTCTCTCACACACACACACACTTTTTCTCTCTCTCTCTCTCTCTCTCATTATTTCCTTTCCTTGCCTTGCTTAAACGCTGGCGGCGCTCTGTTTCTTCTCGGCGGCACGCGAGTTAAACGAGCGAAAGAAAAATCTTCTAAATAATTGAGGATTCGGAGGGAGATTTAAGCAAGGACGATGAAAATTTGGAATCGATTCGTTGGATCGATGAAGACGCAGAAGACGAGAAAACGGACGGAATTTTTCAACGGACACACGCGCTTCCGCTTCTTCGTCGTCGTTCGTTCACGTGTTCCGAATTCTGGATGAGTTCTGATCAATTCATGACCTACACCGGTGTGCAATTCGAATAACTCCTAGTACCATGGGAAAAATGTCTTTTTGAAATCGTTCATTATTATCGTGTAAGAATTATTTACCTTAAGTACACAATTGTAAAATGTAACGTCATTATATAACGTCATTATATGTACACACGTTATACCATATGTCGTACGATTAATACGCTATGCATATTTCTGCGAATTTCTTACGAAAATATAATATATTCACATCGTTTAACGAAGATTATTTTACAACTCTGCTCGATACAATACCCCTCTTCTATTCCTTTAGGAATCGCGGCACTGCTTTCTAACCGTTCGTTTCTTGCCTTGTACGATTTCTGGCTGTTTAAGGGAATAGGTATGTCCCTGATGGATTTTTACCAAAGAAAGGTTGCTCCTTTTTCAGTCGATTCATTAATTCCGACATTCTTGAATACGTTGTTTTGTTTTAATCTTCTTTGCTCGGTGATCGAACGGAATCGTGTTCTTGGGAAGTTCTATGAAAATCAGAAGCAAAATCAGAGCATCTAAACATCTCGCTTGTTTCTGACAATGCAGGACAGTGTTTGAGATATAATTTGCTGTAGTTTCTAAGAAGGAGTACGGTGCAACACAAACTTTTCTCCGTGGTCAAATTTCTCTTCATTCTTTGCATATTGTCGTATATTTTAAATAGTTTCTAAGAAGGAACACGGTACAACACAAACTTTTCTCCGTGGTCAAATTTCTCTTCATTCTTTGCATATTGTCGTATATTTTAATCGATAATTATCAATAACTCGAAGACAATAACTAAAACCTCGAAATACTTGAAACTCTCTCACCTGTGCGTTCTAATTTAAAAAAACACCGAGTCAAAGCTACTTACATACACATTCTAAGAATTACAAGCTCTATTCCCTCAAAAATAGAAATACAGTATTAAACAATTTTCCCAGAACAAAATTCATTTTAACCAACATCAATTCTCAAAAATCCTCTTCAATCTCCTCGTATCACGAGTAACTTGGTTCCACAAACCGAAACTGCCAAAAATCATCCCGAATAATCATTCGAAAAAACCAGTTCATTGCACAACGAATTACACCATCCAAAATGAAACCAGTTCCCCTCAAGATCGACGCGTACAAAATCGTTCGAATAATTCCCACCTCAGGAACCATCTTACACCTTATCGCACGTAAATAAATTATAACAAAAAGGAAACGTCACCGATACACAGCGCGAAATGTCACCAAGTGTTGTTAGAACGGCGAAAAACCGGCGAAGAATTCGCCAAGGAGGTCCGATCGGATCGAATAACCCATCGACATGGTCTGTGATCTCTCGCCCACGATCTTCCGTACCAGTTTTCTCTAGCACCAGGTCTAACCACGCGACGACCATTTTCACCGTTGATTGTCCAGCGGAGAAACATATTCTTCCACCCTGAGAAACGTTCGGCGAACAGGAACGAGATTCCTCTCGGTGCGTTACAGAGACGTATCCGTAAGAAGAAACAGTTATCTGCAAGAAGAAGAAAAGAGGGATCGTTAAGGTTAGGTGGAAGAAGAAACGAGAAGAAGAAGGAGAATTGGTGTGGAAAAGTGGAAAGAAGAAGAGCGTGGTATAAATTTGCTTTCACTCTTTAATATGCAGAAGAAGATTCGCCGACAATGAAGGTTGCTACCTGGCTTTCCACCGATTAATCGTTATCGAAGATATACGATTTGGTCACGCTATTTGGTCACAATCGTTCTCCGTAGAATATACAAGGATAATTGGCGTAGGTTTCTTCCTAGAGAGTATGTTATAACCGTGATCACGTGCTTTTAGATGCGTTAAGAAGGAATTGAGGACTTTGAATAAAGGAAGAAAGGTCTGTTGGTAAATATCTTCTGAAATTAGTATCTTAACTGTGGAAATTGAAAGAGGGGATATACTATAATTTTTTAGGTTTGTTTTTTAAACATAGAGAAAATTAATTTTTAGAGAAAATTCCATATTTAACACGTTTCTTCGTAGCTTTCTTACTTGTTTTAGAGGATACATATGAAATATTTGTTTTAGAATCGTAATTACTTTACGATACCAAAGAATATTATTAAAATCTATGTTAATCTTAGATAAAAAGTGATTGGTACAAAAATCCCGAAAGATAAGAAAATTCTAGCACATACGTACAATCGTCGAATGTTGAGTAAATAACGTCTAGATAATTCGACGAGGAGTAATTAACAAGAAAGTTCGATAATCCGAAAGTTCGTAAAAATGTTGAAACTTCGAAGGAATCTGTGGTTTAATTGACGCTGATAACGAAATTGTTTCTTGTTTCGACGATGAAACGGTTCCAAGGGTGAAAACACCTGTTCAAAGAATATTTACGTGGACCAACTTTAATTAGGAAAAGTAAACGAAAGAAATTTTTTTACAAGATACGAAATATCAGGACAACTTGAATAGGTTAGAAACGTTCGAAATGTTAAACTGTGTAGAACGGTATTAGGTGAGCTTATTGTACCTGACTAATTAGCATCGATGATCGATACCATTTCCTCTGCAAATGTTGTTCTGCAACGCGTGTGAGAATATTTTCATGGCGAGCAACTGTTAAGCATAAATCCAACAAGTTGACTTTCTACATTTTTTCACCATCCAACATTGCAATGTAATTATGCTATTTGCGATCGTTGCAAGATATTTGAACACTTTTTCTCTCGATACACGCATAAATACGACGATTTTTTGTATTTACGAAATTATTGAGAAATTCTGGTAAAAGGGAAACGAGATAGAGGATTGAAATTTGACGTCAAATCGTTTCTTTCAAATTTACCAATTTAAGTTTTGTTCTTGAAGTTACATAATTACAATTAGACGTCAAATAACGAAATTAACCAATTTCCAGGTAAATATTAGGTTGGTAATTTTAAGTTTGCTACCCTAAAATTTTTATGAACAAAAGTATATATATATACTACCGGCCAAAAGTTTGGAATCACGGAGCATTGCAATTTACACAAAAATTTCCAGAAAAAAGTCGACGACTTTGAGAATTTTTGATCATTCGAATCAACTGATATGAGATAAACTTCAAACCTATAAAAAATTAGCAGCAGATTTAATACTGATGAAAAGTGGGAGGTGATTCCAAACTTTTGGCCGGTAGTGTATATATCAAAATAATTATAAAATGAAGAGCCTTCGAATGATCTACAGATCAATAAAAATAAAAAAAAAAAGAAGCTGCGAAACATAAGTCAGCGAATTTAGTTGCCAATCTAATAACATAAAGCACGATAAAGAATAATTACACCTAAATAGGTTCGACAATCACTTCATCGCTGCGCCTTTTCCTTTCCATGGAGGCCACGCGTCGCATTTTCCTTCGTTTA